TTTTTTTTTTTTTTTTGTACCAGGGACTGAACTCCGGACCTTGCACTTATGAAGCAAGTGGTGGAACCACTGAGCTAAATCCCTAGCCCCTCAGAATTTCTAAAGTGGCAAGTAGTAGTTCAAAATCTTCTAGAACACTTCCTCCTAAGGCGTGTTAATTTTGCTGTAAGATTTAAGGGCCAGTGACACAGAATTCTGTTCTTAGCATGAATCGAGAGCCACCATATCAGTTCTTACAGCTTCCTCCATCTGTAACCTTCTCTTTGTTCAAAGTAACTGAGAAGAAATCTGTAAGATTTTTGTACCTTACTGCATGAAAATTTGATTTCAGTTTTTAAGGAATGAATGATTCTTATTCATAACAGAAAAAGCAAAAAATTCAGAAACAACTTCAGTGTCCAACAGGGGAAAGCTTGGTCAGATAAAATACAATCAAATATGATGAAAACACTGCAGCTAATTAAAGATCAGGTTCTTAATATTTTGGTACATGGGAAAAATTTCACACTATAATATAAAATGAAAAAATCCACATGATAAAATGATACATTCAATTTGATTTCATTCTGTTAAAATTACATAGGAAAAGGAAAGAGTACACCAAAATAATACTTGCAAAAATAATAGCAGTGAGTAAACAATTAGAGCCCAGCCCAACCAACTTAGCAACTCAGTTAAGTCCTATCTGAAATGAAAAATAAAAGACTGGGGTTCGAGTTCAGTGTAAAGGCCAATCCCCCATACTACCCTCATCCCGCAAATGAAGTCCTACACTAACTAGAACCAACAAATCTCTGGTTTTAAAAAAATATTTATTTTCCTTATAATGGACATTAGCACAAAAAGAGTTCTAGGTTTTTTGTTTTCTGTATGAGTGTGTGTGGTAATGAGGATTGAACCCCAGGTCTTTGCACTAGGTTCTATCTCCAGATCTTTTTATTTTATTTATTTATTTTTGAGGCGGGGCCTTGCTAAATCACTAATTTACCCAATCTGGGCCCAATTTAACAATCCTCTTGCCTCAGCCTCCCAGAGTGCTAGGATTTAGGCATGCACCACTAAGCCCAGCTTTTGTTTTGTTTTTGTTTTTGTTTAGTTTCTTGGGGGGGGTTAGTTTTTTGAGATAGGGTCTCACTATGTAGTTGAGGATGACCTGGGACTCACTATATAGCCCAGGTTGGTCTCAAACTCACTCACAAAGATCCTCCTGCCTCAGCCTCCCCAGTGCTGGTATTAAAGGCCTGCAACACCACGCCCAGCTCAGCTTTTGTTTTGTGTTTTGTTTTAATTCATTCAACAGCTGTCTGTTTATTGCCTGTGCTGTGGTAGGTAGTATTCAAAACAAGACAAATCTTTGCCCTTAATGGAGAGACAATAAACAAAAATAGTAAAGCAATACATTAAGTAGAGATAAAATGGATAAAAGTAAGTCAGAGAGCTGGGTGTGGTGTGCTGTAGCCCCAGCACTCGGGAGGCTGGGCCAGGAGGATCACTACACTTTGCAGCCATCCTGGGCTACACAGTAAGTGCAAGTCCACCCTAAACTATATAGCAAGAATCTGACTCAACAAAGAAACAGACAACAACAAAAGGTCAGGGGAAGAAGATTTGGAACATAAAGTGTGTTGCAATTTTAAAGAGCAAACAACAAAGACCTTACTGAGAAGATGGCATTTGAGCAAAGGACTTAAGTGGGGATGGAAGGTGGTACACAGTTTTCCAAAAGCAGAGGATTCTTGTGTGCTCAATGGAGGTCAGTGTGTCTCGAATAAAGCAGGAAAAGGCAGAGAAGTTTAGATATGCTGGCTCTATTAAGCCATTTTAAAACACTGCTGGGCTGGCGATTTAGCTCAGTGGCACCACGCCTGTCTTGCAAGCCAAGGACCCGAGTTCAATCCCCGGTAGCAAAAAAAAAAAAAAAAAAAAA